GCCGGCACGCCGGCCGGCCGGCGGACTATGAAAGCAGCCAATCGCTCGGCTATTTCTTGCTACAGAGCTGGCAATTTAGTGTTCCGCGGTCTGGACTTCGAATATGAGCACCACCAATCCGATGCTCCCCTGAATATCATTGGCCCCATTTCGATCCCTTTTTGATCGAGTCCACTAAATGTATCCGTATACGTAAGGACAAGAACGTATACGTAAGGACAAAAAAGACTGCGGAGTCGATGCAGTGAGTGTAGAATCACATCTTTTTCCTGCCGATGTCGTAGAATTCCTTCCATGAACTTTGTCGATTTTTTTTTCAGTGAAAACATTCCGAAGCCCTTCTCAACCTCGCACCGCAATAACCTCGCAAAGTGGACATTTTTTTTTTTTTGAAAATCAGTGCCATTCTGTGCGTTACGTGGCAACTCTGCGTAAAACGTAGAATAAATGTATTCGGAACTGACCGGGAATTTGCCGTCGGCGATGAATTAGCAGAAAAAAAAGAAACTGAACGCAATACGGGTTTCATAGGCATTCATGATTGAATGAAAAGATTTCCAATCATTTAGGCATCTTAATGGATGTGAAGCGAGATCGCCTCCTGCCAGCTGCCATTAAGGACTCGTTCTTGGCCATTGTTGCTGCAGGTGTAGTAGCCTTGCTGGTGGCACTCCACTCGCGCTCGTTCACCTATGCCATTGCTGTCTTCCTAGTGCTCGGGCTGAGCGTTATCGGTTTGTTTTCGCTTGCTTTTCACAGAAAAACAGTATAATCCCTGTCTCGTCCATTCTTTTGAGAGAAAAATAGCAATCTTTTGAAACCAAGCAGACCTGCTCAGTGCAGGTATTGCTGCTTGGCATCAACTGGTGTTTGAGCTAATCCCGCGTGTATTAGTCGCTGTTGTACAGTAGCGATGCTTAAAGAAAAGTAAATTTTCAGTCGTGCTCTACAGAGCTTAAGACCTTTACTTGCAGGTTCACTGGCCTTTTACTCGTTCTTCACTTCCGATTTTCCTCTGCTGAATCTGGTCATTTTCGTCCTTCTGATTGCTGTCGGCACTGACGACGCCTTCCTGCTCTTCACTCATTTTCCACGAAACCTCAACGAAGAATCTTTTTACGAGGTTAGTTGAAAATCTCACCTAAAACCGTTTTTTGGTTTTCTTCCGCGAATGGCAGAAGTGTGGAACTATAGAGGTTCTCATCAGCATATCATTTATGATAGTTCATTCAAGAAAGAGTTTCTGCCTTCGTCGGATACTCGAGGTGAGTTTAAAAGAAACAGGGCAGCGTGGTTCTAAAACGATGAAGTCCAAGAAGACAGAGAGCAGAGGAAAGACGCAGACAGGCATGAAAGCACTGGAAAAGGCGTGAGCTGCAGGAGACGTGGCTGTCTATAGAAGTTGCAAGAGGCATGGCATGGCTGCAGCAGCGAAGGCAAAAACAACGGAATGGAACACCTTCTACGGCACGCGCGATGGTAGAGAAGGAGCAAAATTGCCTACGGCTGCTCAAGACATCGGGGCAGTGAAAGCTGTAAGGGACAGGGGCTGTGACACTCTAATAAAGCTAGCCTGTCAAGCGTGGGTTAGAAGTATATTTTGACAGGCTTCTGAACAAAGAATTTTCAACAGCTGGTCCCATGGCACCATAGACAGATGATGAGGTGCGTCAAGCAATAGGGATGGTGAAGGTTGGGAAGGCGGTAGGTCCTGGGATACGGATCGACGCATGGAAGTGCCTAAAAATCCAGCTGAACTGAATGATTCGCCCGATTCTTTAACGACGCACTTGTTGATGGAGAATCCCAGAAGCTTGGAAGAGCAGTACTGTCGTTCCCATTTCGAGCTACTGGGAGCGCTCCTAGACTGAAAGGTTTCATCTCGCTGGACAAAGACATCGTACATGACGGATCCAAGGCAAACACACGCACACCTCACGGTTTCACAGCAACTGAAGGCGTCTCGGGTGGGATCTGCCAACGGTCAGCTCTGAGCTCGGTCCTCATCCTACTAACAGTGGATGCCAACACAGAAGGACTCATGGAGGAACCACCGAAAACCCTCTACGAAGCTCAAATGGAAGGTCTGCAAAGAGGAGACCCGCTCTGCTCTACGACAGCGAGTGCTGAACAGTAGGTAGGAATCGTGAAGGCAACTCCACTCCGCATAGATAAAGATGTGAAGATGGGCTGTGGTTAGACAAGGCCTTGTCGGATTAGAAACGCGGACATAAGTACACCATCCAGACAGCTCATACCCATCCGAAGATAAGCAACTTTGGCATGGGTAATGCTGCAATAAACACAATATCATGCGATAACAGAAGCCATCTCAAGGGAGGCGACCACGAAGTTTCTACCTTTGAGGGGAACAAAAGATGGAGGGACGTGATCGAGAAGTATCTTCAGAGACCAAGGTAAGGGAAGAAAGTGCCGTCGATTGGCCAAGGGTACAAAACCTAACAGGAGTAGCGGACCTTGTGACTGCGCGGGGTTAGAACGTTAGGAAGAAGAAACTACGATTGTTCTTAATCATGACCCATCATCAGAGTAAATGCTGTAGAAAAATGATGGTAAATAGAAGTTGACTGTGTGTTGACTCAAGATCGTGGATCATGTGGAGCTTTGCTTTTTATTCACTCCTCTCTTGCAGTGTATGGCCCACACCAGTGCGACAATGTTTCTCACTTCATTCTCCACTGCCGTGCCATTTTTTGTGAACATCGCCTCCAATGTCGTCGTTTTCCGGTAGGGAACCATATTCACGTCTTTGGAACATCTTTACTGCTTCATGATGAACCATAGTGGTAATGCATTAGAATGCCATTTGTTATCCGATGACTTCTAAGCCATGAGGTTGCTGGATACGTTGTGACTGATTGTAGATGACACTCAGATCATGTTTTCAATTAGCTCTTGTGAGGAGACCAGCACGATGAAGTCGAGCAATTATACCCGCTCCCCCAACCGGCTACTTGGGCTTGAATTCGTTTGAAGCCCAAGTAGATGAATCCCTATTGACTTGATGATGGTTCTCACGCTTTCAGCTGTTTCGGTTTGTTCGCCGGAGTGACAATTCTTATAAACTACTTCCTTGTGATCTCATTTCTTCCAGCATTTTTGATTCTGCAGAGGAGGTAAGTTTTTTTTCTTTTCCCTCAAAGGATTTCAGATCTGAAACTCATTCAAGTATCCATCTCTTAGGTATTTCTCTTGTTTTCCGTCGTTGCCAGACTTTGGTGTTTTTATCACAAAGTCGTTCAAGGAGGCACTACCATGGGTCATTGTCCAGGTTCGCAATTAATGTTCCTTTTCGAGATTATTACTTTCTTGCTCGTGTTTGCATAACCATCTTCGTGTTTCTTTCCTGAACAAAAATTAAAGATACAGTACACCATAATTTTGGCGTATGCAGATTAAAGGCACCGTTCGCAATAGATTTAGGGTACCCTTTTTGACGCGAATTGATAGAACTTCTCTAGAATAAAGCGATAACAACGAAAAAAGCGCAAAAAACGATGAGCAAAAAGAATTACAAAGGGCCAAAAAAAGAACTGGAAAGGGGGATTGGACGAGTTTCACATTGAAAGAACGGCGGTTAGGGAGTGTTCTGGCCAGTGCACGAAGGTGACGCAGTGTCTGCAATAGCAGACAACACACCCAAACAGCTGATTTAGACTACAGTCTTGAACATGACAATTGCCAACCAGCTTATCGATTTTTCACCAACTTCGCTCCAATGCGAAAGTGGTGTACGGCAATTAGATTTCGTAGTCAGCCTAGCGAGGGGCGAGGGCGACCGTGGATAACATTCCGGCCCTTATTGTGCCCTATCCAGACCGTTTTCCGACCTCATTCCTGCACAAATGGTATCAGAGGGGGCGTCGAATTCAAACCATGTGCAAATCTACGAAACCATTTTTTCGTGAACAGTGCCTCTAAGACGAATAATAGGAGTGAATGTCGAACATAGTGCGATGGTAGCGAAACAGGGAAATATAGGGAAATAAGAGGCTTCAAAAATGGCGGAACTCCAATGTGCGCCATTGCGACAGAAGATACCGTAAGCAGAAATGTCTTTCACCGTCGCCTTACATCAGGACGGCCTGCGCGATCAGCTGATTGGATGTTTACCGTGTGGCTCCTAATGCGAATAGCGCAGCCTGCTCAGCTTCGACAGTTAGTCTGAGATCCCGTCCTGCTTTTTGTGTGGACGTTTGCAAAGCCGGTTTTAAGATCTGCGGCCCTAATTATTATAACTCCTGTAGAGTCCGTTTTTTACCTTATAGCGTCCTTTGTGCTACCCTTGGGGTCCACAGGGTCATATTTCAATACCATTCTTATCGTGAACTGTGCCTTTAATCAAATGAAAGGCGTAGTCTCACGATAGCGCTGCATCTGTGTGATCACATGGGTCGAATAAACGGTGCACAATTCTTGGAAGGCGGCTCGAAAGAGATATTCAGACAACGTTTACCACGGTATTCGAGTCGCAAGCTGGATTACCCAAGATTAACGTGAACTGTGCCTTTGACCAACCCTTGTTAGAACCACGTTGAGGGGGAAGTTGACACAGACGAGCACCATGAAATGCTC